CAACATTACTACTTGCTCTACATCTATGCAAGTCCCTATCTCCTCTCACCATTCCTGCAATGCCATTTTCCTCCTTGCTCCTTTTTTGTAATGACAATTTGAGGGGTGATAAAAATGGCTTCTCAACTTATATTTCCCCACCTTTCTGCAAGTATGAAAAGGTATTGGGCACCTAAAACAGGACAAGATAGATGTCAGGTACCCAAGTTCAAAACTGTGATCCAGAATATCACTAGTCAGCAGTTGCCTAATCTTGGAAATACTTAAACTTTTTTATTTGAAATTTCTCTAGGGACCTGCATTCTTAATATTGCCTACAACTCTCCAGGCCCAAGCACCTAACTGCTGCACCCTCCTAAGTCTGCTCAGGATCCAGAAAATAGCACTGAGACAAATTGGAAAAATAGGGCGTGTCTAGGCCGGGGTGGTGGGGTCCCTTCAGGCTGGGAAATTTGGCAGTGGGGGAACAGTGGCAATTAAGACTGCCACCTTCCTCTGCTTCCAAATCCCCAAGCCCCACACCAGGGGTTGGAGCCAGACCATAGTCTTTTCCCCCAATCCTGTGGGGCCAAGCCAAGCCTCCTTCCCCTACAGAGCTGTATCCGGCTGGGCTGCTTCCCCTCCAGGAAGGGCCTTGCTGCAGGAGCACTGGCCAGATCCAACCTATGCATGGACCAGGTACTACTCATTTAACCCTCCGAGCAAAAAATGTTGAGCACCCCTGGCCTAGGTGGCCTTCCATTGGAAAATGTAACTTATAAGTGGGCTTCATTGGATTTGACATGTGAGGCCCAGGCCTAAATTTTCTAAGGGGCTTGATCCAGTGTATGTCCTTAGAATTGGCATAATGGATGCAAATAGGATTGGGCCCTTCATAAAATCCACTTATAACTGCCTTATTTTTAAGATATGACTGCTGGAGGAGAAGAACAGAGACGGCAATTTGGACATTTGCCCACAAAGTGGGAATACTATACCGTTTTCAGTCTCCAGTGATTCAAGTCCACAGACCTCACTTCTTAGGAGAGTGGCTGTAATCACCAAGTTAGAAGCAAGCTAGGATGGAGACGTGCTCTACCCCACCTGCTGAAGCTTTATTATTGTGTGGCAAGGAATGCAAGATTCATGGGAGTTCCCCACTTGGCAGAAGGTTTTTGTATAATCATTCTGAGTCACGTCACTCTCCCGCCTGCACACCTAACTCTGGATTTGGTATTCAGGTGCCTCAAAGGCAGGTGCTTCAGTACCGAACATGTAGGTACCTATACCCTTCTTTATTGGATCTCTGCATCTCTAATCTCATCTTTAAAAATCTTCCTTTATCACTTTAGTATTTAACTCATATTAAACTATGCTCATGCATCCTTCCTAATCTCTCTTCCTTGTAATCAGTCTACAAAAATACTTGCACTTATATTTTCATTGGATTATTGCATGATGCTGCATTTATGTATGTTAATTTTTCTTTTTTCATAGTTTCATAGTTTCTAGGGTTGGAAGGGACCTGAGTAGATCATCTAGTCTGACCCCCTGCCATGGCAGGAAAGAGTACTGGGGTCAAACGACCCCAGCAAGGTGTTCATCTAACCTCCTCTTAAAAACCCCCAGGGTAGGAGCCTGCACCACTTCTCTTGGAAGTTGGTTCCAGATCCTAGCCGCCCTGAC